ATATTTCTGATTTAAGTTTCTCTACCTCTTTTTCGTGGGCTATGATAGTATTATCCTGTAATGAAATAGTTCAATAACATTACTCAAGCTCCTTCACAAGAGAGCGAAGTTTTTTCTCATTGCTCTTATTAATAAAAATCTCATCTTGAAGCTCATTACGAAGCTCCTGATTCGTATCTAACAGTTGTGAAAATGCTGGATCACATGAAAATGTAGGCATAATATTTTCAATTCGATTTAAAGAGCTTCATATAATCGTAGCCTGAGAATGAGTCAACCACAAATTATAATAAATTCTAATGAAGAGCTCCGCATAGTATGTAGACTTCTGTATTATAATATTCCTGGATTTTGTCTGAATGCCAAGAAATTGCAAAAAAAAAGTTAAGATAAAGGGTTTTGAAGTTTTCAATTGCAGGACATTGCAAAGTAGTTAGAGTATCAATATAGCTATCAAATTTATTGACACCCATTACCTTGTAAAGCTGAGGTGAGTTTTCAATCTGAACAAAGTCCATCAATGCGATATATTGCTCCATACCCATGATCAGGATGGTAGGAGGGTATTCATTTGTAGTTTTCTAATCATAGATGTGGCAACACGTTTTAAGAATGGATGTTCATTAACATCGAGAAATAGCTTAAAAATCTGGAATGCGGTCAAAAAAATATATGAGGATCCTTCTAATCCTCTTACATGGCCAGAATTATTGATGACTGATGGTGATACTTTATTCTGAGATGCATTTTCACGAGAGATGCAACAATATAATGTCACTATATGTGTTGTCAACCTTTATAGTTTTGAGAGTTTGGCTTTCATTAAAGCGTATAAGAAAATAATAGCACAATTAACATATAAGGTCCAATATGCTATAGAGGGACAATTAACTGATGGGGGGGATCAAGAATATTTAGGAGAATCCTCAAGAAGTATATTGATTATCTGAATAACAGTAAGACTCGCCTTATTGGAATGTTACTAGTTCGTGCTATGACTTTGAAAAAATTTGAATCAAAGCCTTCTAAAAAACCTAAGCATGCAATCGGAAAAGATGAGGAGATAAAATTACAAAAAGGTACAGCAGTTAGATATCTGTTAAAAGCAGGTGAGTTAGAAGGAGACCATAGACGTAGAGCAACTAACCTGTACTAGAGCTTGCGTGCATATAGAATAAAAAGAGTCATTGTCAGAAGAAATCCACTGCAACTAGTCTTATATTATCTTGAGCGTGAACCCATTGAATCAACTGTCCATCTAATAGGGCGAAATCCAAAAGACCCTTTAAATATGAGGAACTTCAAGTAATTGAGGAACCCGATAAAATCAAGTATCCACCTGATGGATTTATGCAAAAATATCATCTTACTAAGTTCATCCATTATATTCAATTGCTAATGATAATTTAACTGAAGCCCATCAATATGCTGAAAAACGTGATGGCCAATGCCTAGGAAGAACTGGGTGAGTAAATAGTCATAATGTTTATCTTTGATTCTGTGAAAATGGTGCGCATCAATGGGAGTATCCATTAAAATACATCATGAAAAAATTTGAATGGTGCCCTCTATGCCACCATACTACTGAAAGAAATGTACGTTATATTTTCGAGGATCTTCTAGGTAAGAAATTTCCACCATGTAGGCCTAATTTTTTGGATGGGATGCATCTCGATAGATATAATGAGGAATTGCGTCTTGCATTCAAATTCCATAGCTGACAATACTATACTCTTAATTCAATGTTTCATAGGAGAGACCGGATAGATTTGGATGAACAAAGAATGCGCAATCAGAAGAAGTGAGATATATGCAAGAAACAAAATATATGCCTTATCGAAGTGCCCTACACATGTAATCTTTTTCCCTACATCAGATATACACTAATCGAAAAGAGATATTTGGATAATGCAAGTGGGTAAACCAATCTATTGGGCAGGGCATTTATTGCCAGAACTTGAGAAATTATTACATTATTTTTCGATATAATAATTAGTTAGATCAAATCATAAAATACATAATATTCGCAGTGGACGAAGTCAAGCCCTCAAAAAAATATCAGGATGATCCTCATGCGGCATGGCCTTTTCGAATTATAGTTACAGGGGCAAGCAATTTAGGTAAAACGAATATGATTCTAAACCTGCTGGTGATGAACAAATTTTATTATATGTTTGTGAAAAAAAAGAGTTCTAAAATAGGTAAGCGCAATGTTAAATGCGATGATGTGATACTTTGTGGCCACCATTTTAACGAGCCTAAATATGGAATTGTTCGAAATTTTTATAAATATCTTGTGCAAGATAAATCCAAACTATACTATGAAGATATTACATTCTCTACACTCACTCCTAATAAAATTCCAGACCCAAAAAAGTTCAATGTTAAAAGAAGTAAACTAACGATATTTGAGGATGTCTGCTCAGACCCTCTAGCTATACAGAAAAAAATTATTCCATATTTTAGTAAAGGTCGCCACGAGAATATTTCTTCTATTTATGTCTCACAAAAATTTCACAGGATTCCTACGGATATTCGTGAAAATGCAACGCATATTGTACTCTTCAGTGGTGGAGGTTTAACCTGAAAACTTGCTGACATTATAAGTCCTTATACAGATACTGATCCGTACAAAGCTTCAAAGGTCATCGATGATTATTTGAGATAAAAGGAATTTGTGATCATCAATATAAATAAACTGAGATCTGAATCCTTTTCACTTTGATGGAACACTCCGCTCAATTTGGAAAAGAAAATCAAATCGTTAGACAATACTTCTAACTAGCTGTGCCGACAACCAATTATCTGATAATCATTTACCTGCCAAATCCCAAAATGTGTATTTTTTCTGAACCTCTAGGTCATATTCAGATTCTCTATATCGTTTCGCCTATAAATCTCTTTCACAATTGCTGAAATACGTTTTCAGTTCTGTAGTTACATCACTGTACTTCGTGTAAGAAAGAATCTGATCAACAAGAGCGATAATTTTTCTATCCTTGGCAGAGATAACATCCTCCAAATGCTGGCATTTATTCTCTAATAGGTCAATAGACTTTTCAACTGATGCAAGAGCTTTTTTCGTATCAGGGATTATACTCTTGAAATAAGCTACCAAATTTGATAATTGGGCGACTTTCTCACCACTCTTCTCTAAAGACTTGGTCATAGCTACCGTATGAGACTTATATTGCTCTTGCAAGTCGAGAAGCTCTTCAATCTTTTTTTCCAATACCTGCTTTGATATACACAACTCC